CAACAGTATGAGGAGACTGGATCCTTTGCTAGGCGCCCATTAACAGGCAGAAGGCGATTTACAACGGCTCGTAATGTGGTTCAATTGCAACAACAGATCCATGTTCGAAGAGTGACTATTAGTCAGTGGATAGTGAGAAGAAGACTGAAGGAAAATAACCTGACCCCAAAAACAACTGCAATTGGTCCAAAACTTTGCTTCGCACAGAATTATCCGAATTGGACATTGGGCCAATCTGGGTCTGTTCTGTTCTCCGATTTGACAAGAATATGCCTTTTTGGTAGTGTACCGAAGACAAGGAGAGCGATTTGTAGAATGCTGCAATAAAGAGCGAAACTTTTATGGAGGTGGTTCCTGCGTGACATGGGACGTAATTTCGATGGACGCACCAAGTGACCCTGTTTTCATCGGTAGAGACGGTCGTCGTCAATGGGCAGGAGGTTTAACAGGTGCTAGATACATCGAGGCTAGTTTATCAGATCACGTGGTATCATATGTCGACTACATTGGAGAAGAATTCATCTTTATGCATGACAATGCTAGGCCGCACACCGCAAGGATTGTGCAAGATTATATTACAGAAGTCGGGTTTCGAGTTATGGGGTGGCCAGCATACAGTCCCGACAGCAATCCGATCGAAGATTTATGGGATGATCCAAAGCAGAGGATTCAAGGTAGACATCGTACCCCAACCTTGATCAGTAGAGTAGCAGTAGAGGAAGGGTGGCTTAACATTCCACAAGAAACCAATTAATAAAAAATGTTGAGTTGCTAATTGTCAATAACCCTAAAACCTAAAAAGAAGAAATAAATTTTAATCAATTGAAACTCGTGTTAAGAACATTAAATTGTCTTTCAAAGAGTATTTGATCAGTAGTTTCTAAAAAAAAATGAAATTGAAGTCAGAAGTTCACTATGCACGCTAGCGGCCGAAAGAGTTTGGAAGTACTAAGACTGCTTATGTCGAATATTTTTTCGATGTAATGTCATTATTTCCAAAATCTAACGCAAATCTGTAACGAAGAACTTGTTCCGCCAGGAATTACATTCGACGAAAAAATAATCCTATTAGCGGCGTACAAAAAGGGTCGAGGATTTTTTCGATTGTCGAGTTTGGCGGGTGGACGACGTATACGTTAATCAAAAGAAGGATTAAGATGAAAAAATCTCCGGGATATTTATATTGTTGTGTCGGGGGAAAGACGTCTGTCGCGGAATCCCCTGGGGGGAAGATATACGAGTCGCACTTTATTCGGGCCTCTTCAAACATCCGCCACCAATTCCCGTGGTGACGTGCTTCGTGTTAATGAAGATACGACTGCGGGTTATTTTTTAAACGGCGATGTAACCGCTTCAGTGATAGCATTAAAGTTGACAACATTATAGTCTTTTCTTTTTTGGTTTGGTTTGAAAGTTACGACATACGCAACGTTCTTTTCACAGGGTAAACATATTTTTCCGTGTTTTTCTTCAAAATTTAATATAAAACGATCTAAGATAGATAGATGGATAGATATATTGGTAGTGATAAATAGATGGTGATAATCATGACGACTGCCCAAAATGATAACGTTCCAGTTGATAACATAGTTTCTTTTTTTGTGTTTTTCTTCAAAATTTCATACAAAGCGCCCTAAGATTGATAGACGGATAGATATATTGATAGTGATAGATAGATGGTGATAATCATAACGAATGCCCAAAATAATAACGTTTCAGTTGATAACATAGTTTCTTTTTTTTGTGTATTTCTTCAAAATTTCATACAAAACGACCTAAGATTGATAGACGGATAGATATATTGATAGTGATAGATAGATGGTGATAATCATAACGAATGCCCAAAATAATAACGTTTCAGTTGATAACATAGTTTCTTTTTTTTGTGTATTTCTTCAAAATTTTATACAAAACGATCTAAGATAGATAGATACATAGACATATTGATAGTGATAGGTACATAGTGCTGGCAGTATTTACGTTCATTCCACATGCCTCTCCAGTTTGTGAAAATTAGTACTAGGTTTTTTGTTTGTCAGTTTATCTTACAGCGTATACATGTTTTCTATATTTTTCTTCAAAATGTGTATAAAATAGATAGACGCTAGTATATAGATGGTGCTGGTTTACACACGGTAGTTACATAGCTCACGGAACTTACACTCATAACAATAGCAAAAATATAGGTTTGTATTTTAAATATTGTCTCGTTCATTCCTTACTATTGTTCGGCTGCTCGAAATAATTCTTTTGATGTATAATCAAGCGTACCTTGTCCACGCACTTGTTTTGCCTAGTAAGGTAAGCAAACTTCCTTGTTTCTACAGTGTTTGTTTTCAATTTAGCTTTTGTTACTCTCTCCGACCAAGAAACTCCATTATCTTAAGGATTGAGGACACATAACGCCTTACTGGATCTATTTAAAACTCCAGAGCAGATTACTTTCCGGATATTATTCTGGATCTTGGTTCACGCAAATGTACTCCAGTCTAGTCAACTCAGCACTTAATAATGTGTATTCTCTCATTCTCTGGACTTCCTTATTGCGAACATACAGCTTTCCTGGAGGTTTGCTTAGTGATAATCAGAATTTTTTTACTTGAGTATAAGTGTAAGTGTAAGCTTGTAGCTCAGCGCTAGCAAGGTGTAGTTGACAAAACGGATATTATAAATAAGTTCATCGTTTAGACCTAAACCTTCTGTTTCTTCGTAATTTTCTCTGAGTAAAGATTAAAAAGTTTAGGATAGAGGATGCATACCTGTCTTATTTTTATTTGATTATTAGCATGTGACACATAAGACTTGACAAAAGTTATTCTTATGGGATTATGCCCATTTTGTAAACGTGATTAATGAGATTTGTTGTGGACCGTGAATGTTCTGAGGGTCTCATAATAATGTATATAAAATTGAGGAATAACTAACAGACTAAAAAACTGTTTATAATCAAATACACACCTTAATGCAAATTAAATAATATTTAATTTCTTGGTCAGATTGTCAATATGAGCTGACGCATGCCAAGAAATTTTTTATATCTAATACGTTTTTAAGTGAAAAACAACTTTTTATTTAATTTTCATTTAGTATCGAGTTGATATTATTTAACGACATTGGATGTAATCCGTATGTAAGACGCATATAAGAAGCAAATAAGAAGCATATTTTATTATATCATCTGCAAAGAGTTTCTTCTTCTTCTTCTTCTTCCTTCTTCGTATTAGGCGAATTGCCTGTTCCTTCTTCGTCTCTGCAAGTTAGACTGCCAAGTTGTCGCACCAACGTTTTCGATGACGTCCTAAATTTGTGCCACCCATTCTTCTATCGTCCATTCTGCAGATATGTTCGTTTCATTCTTTCTTTCTACTGTGTACCCATTCATTTACATTTTCCACCTTGCGTGCTCTTCTTATGCTCTCATTTCTTTCTCTGTCTTACAGTGTTTTACCAGCTATTCTACGAAGTACTCTCATTTCGGTTGTCCCTAGTAGTTGTTTGGTTTTTGCTGAATCAGATCGAATTTCTGCAGTGTATGTCATAACTGGTCTCACTGTTGCCTTATAAATTCTTGATTTAGTTTCTACTTTGACATTTTTATTTTATTGAGGCATCCTGCTATTCTTGTTGCCTATGTTGTTCCTTCTCCCACCTCCGCCTCAATATCACAATAGTGAGATTTCTATGCCTAAATACATAAATTTCGTTTCCTGTTGTATAGCATTTCCTTCAACTTCCAGTTTGCATCTCAATGGTACTTTTGATGTCGTCATACATCTAGTTTTATGGGTTGATATTATCATATTAGGTGATTTGGCAGTGCAGTTAAATCGATATAATAGACCCTGTAAATCGTCTTCATTTTTGGGCAACTAATACGGCGTCGTCGGCATAACACAGAATACTGATTTCCTGATTCCATTCTGCCTCCCTATAATAAGCGTACATTTCTTATTATTTCATCCATAATGATGTTAATGATAATGTGTGGGATTGGCCTATTGTAGAGGAGATGTACTACGTCTCTTAGCTGTACACGGTCGAACGCTTTTTCTAAATCAATAAAGTACACAAATGCTGGTTAGTATTCACTTGATTTTTCTGTTATCCGTCTTATGTCAAAAGGGGCGTCTGTGCATGATCTGCCATATTTGAATCCCTGTTGTTCGTCTGCCAAGGATGTTAAGTCGATAATTTTGTCTGTTATCACCTTTGTTGGAAGTTTTAATGTGGTGCTTAAGAGATTTATGCCTCTGTAGTTTGAAGGCCGTTTTTTATCCCCTCTTTTAAACATCAGTATAGTGATGCTCGTTCGCCATCCATCGGGTTTCTTGTGTTGGTGGAGAATTTTTTGAGTTAGGGATTTTAACTGCTGTGTGAGGTATTGACCGCCATATTTAAGTAGTTCGTTTGGAATGTCATCTTGCCATGGGCTCTTCCTGTTCTTTAGCTTTCTGAGAGCTGTAATTATATCGAATGCCTCAATTTGTCACTATTTCAGGTGTGTTTATTTCAACCTCAATTTCTTCTGATTTGTTCGGACAACCCAAGTTTCTCTTGCTATATGATTTATTTCAACTAATTCATTGATCTGTTTACTTTGAGTTCCAATAAAGCGCCAAATTTGTTTTTAAAGTCCACAGAAATAATTTTTTTTGGTTTTGGTTTTTTGTTTTTTTTATTTGTCTTACTTGTACGCAAATAATTTGGTGTGTAAAAAAAGTAAAAGGGCATATCTACAGTTATCACATTGTGTTCTATCAGAAAGATTTAATTTAATTAATATTAACATCAACGAAACCTTTAATTTTTCGAGCAAAAATAAGACGCGACACTAAACAGTGAAAAGCTAAAAGGAGCTGCTGAAATATCGATTCGGAATCAGCGTGGTGTCAAAATTAAATTATATAAAGATAATGCGACGACACCCTGTATAAGCAACTTCGGCGATGTGTAGAACTGGCACCTACGGCAACCCCGACTAATAAACTTTTTTGTTTCAGATGAGAGCGTCAGCTTCTCAGAGCATTATTTTTTCCGTACGTCAAATGACGTGCCCTTTGGATGTATTCCTTTCGCATTTTCAACGGGACTATCACGCCCGCCAGATCCGAATTGTGGATGAATCGAAGATAATGTTTAAACGCCCACGTTCCCCGATGTTGTAAACACGTCTGTACCTATCCTTACGCGACGGCGGCGCTAGCGCCGATCGTGCCACTGTGTACCGTCCTTTATTTTTCTATGTGACCAAGTTGAATCAGTGTTATATTGCGTGTTTACCACTAGGGTCTCAGTCCCGCAAACGTAGTGTCTCGAAAATCTGGCGCAAATACGTACAGAGACGGGTCCAAAAATATAGTAGTTCTTGCTCTGGCATTATACAGGGTAGAGGAAAATATTTTCGAAACACGGAGCCTGGGTGACGTTTCGTGCGTAGAGGATTTTACTTACCTAAGCCGTTCATTAGCAGTTATCAGGAGTTGAGTTGGATTAGAAACTGCGGAACCTTTTTAAAATTTGACCCAGTTTGATATTTTTCTTTAATCAATTTTCCGTGCAAAAAAAAAACTATCCGCAGGGTATTTTGAAGAAACATAATTTTATTTACATAGCCGAAAAATGTTACTTTAGAAGATAACACATGTTCATTAAACAAACTAATCTTATTTAGCACATAATTTAGTCGAACTTTCTTTTAGTACCCGATAGGTTCATTTTCAGTTGGATACTAGAGGAAGTTTTCGTTGGTATAACGCAGGATGTGAACCTAAAATGTAACCTATTCAAAGCAACCAAAGGCGGTCCATTTGAAATTTTCAAGGTGACGTCACTGTACTGCTATTAACTACGTGAATTGAAATTCGTCCTTAAGTAACAACCTGCAAACTTTTCATTGAACGGTTTGCGTAAATCACCCTGTATATGTACACTATGTCCCAGTAAGTTGGAAGCGTATGGGATTATTAATTTTAGGAAAAAACCTATTTCTCTAATCCCATCTAAAAGTATAAGGTGTTGTCAAAAAATGTTTTTTAAAAATGTTTATCGGAACTAAAAATTACATTCAAATGTTCAAGTACGTCAATTTACATTGAAAATAATTCATAGATTCTTTCATACTTTTAAGTTTCAATTTATTTCGAGAATTGATATTACATTAGTTGCAAGACTTATTGCATTATGTATTTTTTATTTGCAAGAAACGAGAAGGTTATCATAGTTTTTATAATCAGAAAAGATAAAAGTTCGTTCAAAATAGAAACAATAACCTATTTTACCATTGTAATTGCTTCTTTGAATGTAGTTCAATACAATCGATATTCTTATACTACTGGAAAAATTGTATTTTTGACTTTCGAACATGCAGAACTTTTTTGGAAGAATTGGCCTTTTTCCTAAAATTCCTAAATCAATAAATCTCCCATATTGTTCCAACTCACTGAGACACACTGTATAGTAGCGTAGTAGGTGCGCTTGGACGAAATTGACGCCCCAGAGTGTATTTTGCTGTTGAGACCAATAACAAAAAGCACACACACATACATATTATATCTATATAGCTCGATTTAAATCGTTTGTTGTGTATCGTGCGTGTTGGAGTTTTTCGCTATAGCTTTAAAAGAGGTAAGAAAATGTCCGAAATCAAACTCTGCACGAGATGAGAAAATCAACTGTGAGACGTTACGCTTATTTAAAATATTTTATATAACGACGAGTGGAGACACTTCGAGCCTATTTGTCAGACATCCTCAGACGTTCCCGTAGGAATAATTCCCGAATTTCGGTGTCAATGTGCCCCCTCCGCCCACCCGCCCCTTAGGTCGCGCGTTTGTTTTTCGCGACAACCCGTGGAATTCAGGGGTAGCCCCTCAATCATTAAGGGCGTTTCGCAAGAAAGCAACACTCCATTTTTGTCTATTCAAAAAAATCGTTTCGAGCAATTTAACAGTGAAAAAAGAGATTGCCGATGGAATAAACCTACAGCTAAGTTTTTGAAGTATTGCGCTTCGTTTCAACACAACGAAGAATTCACAAATGAATGAACTTAAAAAAAATACATTTACAAAAAAAAATTGTTCGGACAAACACAAGTATCAGAAATTTCTGAAAATGTATCTAGTATTTTGAGTTCCTAGTCGCATTAAAATGAAAACCACAAATTCGCTAACTAAACCGATCCTGGATTCTTCAGATAAAATTTATCGGGCTACCCCTTTCATTTGTATATCTTACTGTCATTATATCTACGTCATATCGAATGTTGAGAATAAAATTGAATTTTCTACGAAGTGGCTTTGATTTTCCCCAGCATCCCGATGCTTTGCAGCCTCGAAGTTCTCAAATTTGAATAAATTGAAAGTCGATGGTTGATATAAAACAACATGGCGTTCCAAAATATATTTAGGCTGTGACCATCATAAATACTATTTACCGGGTCATCTGATCATGGGAAAAATTGTAAATGAAACTTTTCTTTACTTGTCTAATGCCAAGTAGCATTTATTATAATGAACTACTACTTTTTTAGGATAACGTAGTTTTTCAAATAGCACTCAAGCAGGAACAACAACTTTTTAAAACCGGTAATTTTTCTGCGACATTTTGACACCAAAATCCGTTAAAAAATGAGCTCACAGGAAGGAAAAAACCGGGTAAGAAAATACATTTTTATAAAAACAAAATATTACGTAGGTAGCTTTGCTTCTGTTCATTATATATTGTCAAGTCGGTAAGATTAAACATGCAAAAGAAACTCTCTAACTAGCTGGATTTACGTTGACGTATCCCACAACATTAGTTTTCATTTTTGTGGATTTATCATTTTCAATTCCAGTTTTCTAAAGAAAGAATGTGCAAGAAGGCGACGTCCCGGACAGCGGCCTGCATACAATGCACGGGTCTGTCGAGAGTTTTTTCTACCCCGTATATCAGAAATGTATCAACTTTTTCTCAACTTGTAAATTGATTATTGTTTTCCATGATAATCGAAATCGAGAACACGACAAAATCGATAATCAGATAAAAATGTAACTAGCAGAATTTTCAATCATGCCGATGATGATGAATAGAAGCAAAGCCACCTAAGTAAATATACTATTACTTACCTGTTTTTTTCCTTCCTGTGAGCTTATTTTTTAATGGTTTTTAAAAATTTTGGTGTCAAAATGTTGCAAAAAAAGTGTCGGTTATAAAAAGTTGTTGTTCCCACTAGAGCGCTATTTGAAAAAACTAGCTTATCCTAAAAAAATAATAGTTCATTACATTAAATGCTATTTACCATTAGACAAGTAGAGAAAAGTTTCATTTACAATTTACTTATGATTTATTTATGATGGTCACAGCTTCCTAAACAATTTTCAAAAATTAAATAAAAAATAAATAAAAAAAAGAGAAAAACCAGCCTATTCTAGGTAGAATGATCTTCTGAATCCCAAAATATTGAAGTTACTGTCGTTTCCGCTCAAACTAGAAGTGCAACCATTGACTACATGTCGTCAAAAAATTGGCCATTCAGCCTATATTAACACTTCCAAATTTCAAATTGCTATCTCAAGCCGTTTAAAAGTTATAGAGTGTCCCTAATGTCTTACGTTAGCCGGTATATAGTAATTCTTTCTGTTTTAAGTACATAATTAAAATAATAAAAAATAAACGAAGATTTAGGATAAATTAAGCACTATTTATCTATATTGATTCGACCCTTATTTAAAATGAGATATGCTATTTTAAGTGATTGTCACCTTATTAAGGTTAACCCTAAATAGCAAAAGTATTTTTCTTTTAAATATGTAAGGAAAATGAAAACGAGGATACAAATGAAACAAAAAAGGTTGAATATAAAAAATAACAACATTTAAAGGAAAATTTAATAACTCGGTTGCATTCTCCAATTTTTTTAAAAACTAGTTGTTTGATAAAACATTTGACGGCCTGCATGGGTTACGCGTACCACACTGGTCCATTGTTCCGATGCCTAGATTCCCAATCGACTAAACATTAGCAATCGAATCTATTGAATCAATTATGACAGTAACAGTATTTACTAACTTACTTTAAAGCATAATATGTTTTAAAAACGACCCTCTTAGATTTGTTGTTAAAAAAAAACTCTTGTTTCAAATATTTATTCGCACAAGCAAAATCCGATTATTTGGGACAAGGCCCCGTCCTCGGAGGGCAATCCTTTTCCGGAATGCACCGCCCTTTCCTATCTCTAGCGAAGCCCGGCTTGCAGTAGCAACTGTCGTTACACCTGACGTTGAAAATGGGACACTGACAGTTCCGGTTTGCGCATGTGTGCTGGCACGCGCTCCCGCATCCATAGCATTCGTTCAAGCCGGTGCAATTCAAACAGGCGAGGCCTAAAAGCGAAATCATTTTTAAAGCCATGCTCACATTTTAAAAACGCGTAAACTACAAACGCTTAATCAATCACTAGAAAGGCCATAACCCCAGCAAAAAGGCTTTCTAACAAACCTCTCAGGAGGATATAGGAATATGGCATTGAGAACCACAAAATCAGAATCTTCCGCATCTCGCAAAATTACAAACACACCACCAGGATTCGCCTTTATCTACAACGTCTACCACGCGGCATCTGTCTAATAAGCCCCCAAAAAGGAAAAGACTATGAGATATTGAAAATCACTTCTTAGAAGCCCACAATCTGTAAAATAGCGATCTTATAACTAGACTTCATCTTGAGCCGCGACTCCTACCATCGGTGGCCAAAGAGAGTGACCACACTACAGCATTAAAAATTCTCAGAATCTGGCGCAACCAAAGTTCGCCCTGATAGACCACCCCCACCACCCCGCCTCAAAAAGTTACAACAAAAACTGTCTAGTGAGCCTATAAAGAGGAAATTGAGAATCACTTTCTAGAAGCCCTAAGCCAAATGAGGGTCAGTCGACACCTCTAAATTACAATCTAATACCCCATCAACTGTGGTCAAAGACACCAAGATGAAATAAGAAACGGACATTGAAAATCACCTCCGAGAAGACCCAAATCACCACAGAGTTTGTGTCTGTAATATTGCAAACACACACAAAAAATAGTTGTTTCTCGAAATTCCAAACCAAAAAAAACACATGCAAAATTGCAAACTGGCAATCAGGTTTCACCTTTATATATTCAAAGCAATCATCACTCCGCATCACAATGTCACAAACCACATCGGAGTCTATCACATATAACGAAAACCACTGCCTGAAAGTCCTCAAAAAAAATCTGTCAATCAGCACACTGCAAACAAACTACAGTTCGCCTCGGCATCTCGGACAAAAAGACTCGAGAAAATTATGACTAATGAACCTTCAAAGAGGAAACAAGAATGGGACACTAACAATCCCATTCTAGCAGTCCCAAAAAACGTCAGAGTCTGTCAAAACCTGTCAAGTTACGACGACATCCATCACCTACACCATCTAGTGTCAAAAAGCCACAAGATAAGATTTGTATAATGGACCTCCAAAGAGGAAATAATAAGAGGAATTTTCCATTTTATAGAGAAAGAGAGAAACAATTTAATAGGCTAATATACCTCCGGACGGGTAGGATCCATCGCAGTAGGCGGAGCTTGGGAGATTGCAGTCGACGCAGCTGACGAAACTGGGCAAACCGACAAACGCGAGGATAAAAAAAACGTACCACTGCATATTTGTAACTGAAGAAGACAGTCGAACTGAACGTTTTATTTATACCGGCCGACTATCGGCGATTTTTAAACAAAGTGCGGCATACGTTGCGAGGTCGCTTCTTTATGCATTATGAATTGCTGCATGATTAGCCCATAAATTACTTTAAAGTTTTACGTTAATGTAATAAGTATGTAGGCGATGATTATTTATCTGTATTCCAACCAAAACTTTGTTATACATGGAGAAGGACATAGACAAAGACAGATAGGCCTACTCCACTTTTATTTTAACAAATAAAATCTATTTAATTAAATTTAATGTTTGTGGATTATAAAAGCCATCAAGTACGAAGATGCAATTTCCATTGAATATAAAATATTTCTCTTTAACAAGGAAGAAGCACTAGAAATAATGACATCATAATCTCAAGCAAATTTCAATTTTTGTTTAATTTAAAATAAAGTGGTAGATCTATGTATATTTAATATAATATTTAACAACTCCGGATTTGGTTATCGGAATTAAACGTGCTATGTCTCGTTTAAAAGTGCGTTCCTTACTCTATATTCTGTTTTATTTGACGCCAGACGCTAGGGGGCGTTATCTTACAACTGACTACAAATTTTGTTGTTTTTCTGAAATTTGAAACTGCTGATGAGTTTATGTGCATGGGATATTGTAAACTACTGGCATCTCCAATGGAATTTTGTCTTTGACGGATCGAATATGTTGAGAGATTTTTGGACAAGTGGTAAATCTGGTTTTGACGTTATATTTCTTTAGAACATTTGATGTTTTGAATGTAAGGAAGGACTACAGTGGCAAGTGTATGATTGCTTTCGGCCTCATTGCTATTGGAAAGTTGTGGTGATGTTTATTTTGTGATGGAACGTTTAATATCGTGTTCTACTCCCGTCTGTACAATGCCTAATTACACACATTTCCGGGATTTTACCGCAAGGGTTTGGGAGCAATCGGATGTTTGATGCATTGTGATCTTTGTCAATCCTGACGGTCATGTCAGTGAATGTATTCGTGTTGTTTTGCGAAAATGTACTGAAAAACTAACGGTGCTAGAAAAAGTATAGTAGGCAACACGTTCGGCAAACTCTTTAACTCACTCGTTTATTAAGCACTCGCTCCGCTGCCTTCCGCTCGTGTCAAATAAACTCGTGAGTCAAATACTGTTTACCGCACTTATTATTATATATTATTATTTCTTATGTTTATTATACTATTAATGTGGATATTATTAACGAGAAGGACAGAGATAAGGTGCTTTAATTCCGGGTTCAGTGACTCGGACTGAGATAGTTTTAGGGCTCTGTAAAAAGAGAGTTAATAGGCGATGATTTTTGGGCCGGATGGTAGTGGTGTATGCATTAAGGTATAGTGCGTAGGTTTTCTGTAAACACAATGACCAAATGTTAGGTCTGATTTTCTATTGATAAGAATATCTAAGAATGGGAGGTTCTTATTAGTTTCTATTTCAATAGGTATAACGCATGTTAGGATGAATAGAATTTAAATGTCTAAGAAAATCTACTAGGGATTGCTGACCATGAGGCCAAACACCAAAAGTGTTATTGTACGTAGCTTTTCCATAATTTTGGTTTTAGATCGAAGGTGTCGAGAGCTTTCTTCTCAAAGGCTTCCATAAATATATTCGCGATGACTGGTGATAGTAAAGAACCCATTGCTGTTCCCGACGTCTGTTCAAAAATTTGACCGTTCTAAGAGAAAATATGTTCAATTTTTCAATCAAGGTGAGAAGGTTTGGTTCCAGATTCTCGTATTCTCGTAATATATCTGAAATGGTGTTGAGACCTTCAGGAATAGGAACTTTAGTAAAGAGAGATTCTACGTCGAAACTAACAGGAGGAATCCAGCAGTTTTGTAAAAAGTATTACAGCAGCCTGTGGAAGTTTCTTTGAAACAATAAAAGCATCATAATTACATATCATAATGCCGTAAGAATAAACTTGTAAGGGCTAAAAAAACTATTGGGTTGAAGTATTAATTCCGATATATAAGCTGCAATACGGAAAAAACTTTATTTTTCTAATGCATTTTTTTTTTTATTTAAGACTTTGATGTGTTGCATATTGCAGGAATAGAGGAGAGGGTTTCTATTAACATTGCACCATTATTAGCAGGGTACAAAATAATAATTCGATTACTGGGAGTGAATACTATTCACTAATATTGATGATTATTTTCTGTTTATTGATATTTATTTTAGTTTAGAGCCCACCCACGCGCAACTATGGTCTTAGTGGAACTAGGATGATTGTTTACCTGCAAAAAGTCATGGACAAGCATCACTTAAGTACTAAAAATATTCTTTAATTATTATAATAGTTTATACAGCACCCTGCTACAACAGCAGAATGTTTAATCGTTTGGGTTTGCGTCCTGCAAAACCCTTGCTGGAATTTCAAAAGAATTCAAAAGGTACCTCATCGATATTAACATCTTGTTCAACAACAAACAATCTAAGATGATTAAAATGATGGTCTAATGACACTTTTATGTTTAAAATATTTCTTTGCAGACCATTTTTTCCTAAATCGGACATCTTACTTATTAATTATTTATCCGTATGGGCTAATGGTATTTTAGTATTACTGTCGATAAAAAGTAGATTTTTGTCGTATTTTCTGCGAAATATCATCATTAAGAACGCTACTAATAGTCTGTTTTAAAAATAAGGTAGTTGGGAACTTCTCTAGGTACTCTATATAATTTTGGAAAAACACGCATCTTCTGGTATCGTAAAACTAGGATTACCATATCCAAGGCAACCATATACATTTAAAACAATATTTACTTCATTCAGTTTATTACAGCTGATTTTTATTGGAAAAAAATGTCGCCATTTTTCCAATATCCTTATTAATGTTGACCCTATAGATTGACTCTTTATGTGGCAGCACCATTCGCAACGTTCGAGACGACCGTCAGATGTACCTTGTGCCTAATCTCAAGTATCGTAAAGTTCAAACACAAATTTAATGAAAAACACCATCGCTGCAGTAAAATTAAGTAAACAACGACAGAACAAATATTTTTTCGACGATATCGTATTTTTAATCCCCCCGATTCGTGTGATTTTTTTTATATAAATACTACTAACCCGTCACACATACATCAGCCTGCAATATGAAGTGGTACGTTTTGTTTTCTCTAGTTGCACTCGGTCTCCCCGGTGCTGTATACCTCACAGACTGCGACCTACCAAGCGATGCGTATTGCGAAGGAACTTATCCTCCAGGAGGTGAGTCTCGATCCTAGATGTTAACCGCCAAGTCCTGCACACGCAGATTTAATTTTTTTTACCACTTCTGCGGTTGAAATTAACAGTTAACTACGAACCACAAACAACAAGCCTCTGCTTCGCAGGTCTGGACTGTCTGAACTGCACCGCCGGGCCGAACGAATGCTATAGCTGCGGCATCGCCTGTCAAACTACCTGCGCGACTTTGGGATGTCCCTGCAACATCATCAACATCCGGTGCAACGATCTCTGCTACTGCAGAAATGGCTTTGCCCGCGACGACCTCGGCACTTGCATTCCCGTAAAGGACTGTCCACCGAGAGGTCCTTGTCCGGAGTAACCCGGAGTACGAAGTGTCCCGAACAGTAATTAATATTGGATGCAATAAAATTACCCGTACCAGTCAAACTGTATACAGAAGGGCTTGACAATAAACATGCTGCAAAAGGTCTACAATTAACATATATAACAGGACTTGCGTTAAGTCCTTTATTAGATGAAGAATTATACACTTTTTTTTTCATCGAGAGATTGATCGGCTTGACCATAAACGTATGTGCGTCAAATTACTACGGCATTGATGATGCTTCGACTCGATTTCTTGAAAACTACTTAGCTAACAGATATCAGAGAGTTACCCTTGACAATGTAAGTTCTGAATTTCTCCCAGTTTCATCAGGTGTACCACAATGTACAGTTTCGTAATGTTCAATCAATGGCTGTAAGGCACTCCTACAGACTCTCACTGCCACGATATTGTTTATATTTGTTCCGCAGATCATTTGCTTATAACGCTCTCCATAATTTTTAATAGTATGCCCGGATTCAGTAAAATCACATTCAATTAAATTCCTTAAATAATATTTCGGGTTGGAACTGCTAACTTCTCAAATAATTTGATTTTCAATGTTATTCGTGTTATTTTTACTTTTAATAACTTTCTGTTGTTCCATAATAATGTTACATTTACCTATTCTACTATATTTAATTTATTAATGTAATTATAACTTCCCATTTGGTTTTCAATTTAAACATTTAAGAGGTTAAGTGGAGTAGCTTTTACTAGACTTCACCTCTTCTTTACTATATATTTGTATATAACAATATACAACAATAAAGGCAATTTATTATTATTATTATTATTATAAATCATTTTTATTTAAAGAAAAATTGTGTGGTATGAATAAAAATCAAGTAAAGTAGATAGAAAGATATAAGAAAGTGACTAACTGATACGAATTAAGGAAAGACCCGGGCAAGCTGTAAGAATGAAATATGACCGAACAGGTCCGTACTTTGCTTAGAATTTAATTATTTGGGGTTTTGTTAGGAAAGATACTAAACAATATTTATTTATTTATGTATGTATTTATGTTTAAATCTAAAATAAAATTACAAATTATTTTTGTTAACTACTTAAATTACTTAAAATTATTCACATAATATATCAGTATCACTATCGCTATCATCGCCTGTTCTAATTGTTATTTGCAATATGGATATACGATTGTTATGTTTTTTCTCTATGTTTAACAGAATTTGCCCAACTTTGTGGAGGGATGTTAAAAACTTCGGTTTCTATAAGTTTGAGGACATTGGAGTTAACACGGGGAAAAACATTGTTACGACGAATGGCAGATTTCAGTTGGTGCCAAACATGTTCAATGGGATTAAATATACAGTGGTAAGGTGGAAGCCTTAAAACTGTATGCCCTAGATTTTTTGCATAATTATCACAGACGTATTCCTTTTGTAGGTTGAAGCTTTGTAGAACCTCAATTAATTGCTCTTTGGTGTAATCTTCGTGAAAATAAATGTCGTTATTATACATGAAGTTTTGGATTGTTGCTTTTGTGTCACATGAGGAAGGGGTTTTAGTCAACTGTCTACTGTGATAACTTGCATTGTCCGTTACAATTACGCTATTAGGAGGAATGTTTGGAACTAGTTTGTTTTTAAACCAACTTTCAAATAAATCAGCGGTGGCGTCTTCATGGTAATTCAGAGAAGAATCTTTAATATTTTTCGCAGACAGAGAAAGTCCATTTGGTATCCAACCATCTTTAGAGCCAGCATGCAAAATAGTTATTCTTTACCTATTTTTGATGGCGCGTTTGTTTTACACTTATCAGTTGAGTCAACCCAACCCTTTTTCATTGTATCATAAGTGTCGAACCAGGTTTAATCTAAGTAAATAATTCGCATTTGTTGTTCTCTGTAAATCCTAATTTTTTATAGATATAACAGTCACCATTTCCGAATTCTAAAAGATTCCATTAAAACTTACCTTTTGTCAATTTTTTTAAATCTAAAACACATGTGTTGAATTCACCTCCATAAGGTAGTTCTGCCACATTTAACACCGGTTTCATCTTTTTCAAGCCTCCTAATTAAGATATCTAATGTAGGCACGCTTTGTTCCTCGTATAACTGGTAAATTTTACGCCGTATTATATCTTGAGCACTTTCATCTACATTCGACAAAATGTCAGCATCGCTTCTTTTTTCCTCGCTGAAATGGGATTATTCACAATTTTCCATACAGTTGATGTTGGAATTTTCGTCAATGTGGCCGTTTCTTCTAAAGATGCTTGCTTGCTGGCACCCCGTTCAATGAGAGGCAAATAAACATTGTTTATAACTTCCTTAGTCTCAATAGAATAGTGTCTTCTACATTTGGGCGGGAGCATCTCCTGAGATACACTAGACTCGCACATATTTTGCATAATTCGCACACGATTCAACACACGCTGTGTTACACACGAAATAAGAATGATTACTAATAAACTTAAACTAACCAAAGAATATTAAACACAGGTAGGTATAAAATTATTTTCTATTACGGACAGCAATATAACCTGAATTTAAATTCCGAAACTTTAGGTAATAATCTTGTTGCATTGTATGTTAATGACCACCCTTGGCTAATCCCATTCAAACGCAATTGGTCACTTTCTTATATCTATGAACAGATCATATTTGCTAGTACTACAAGTATTAGTATCTTCTATCTATTTTTTCCGAGAACGCCAAAACGAATAGCATTCTCCTAAAAAGTATAGTCGCATGTACTACAACTTGAAGTATCTGCATATTAGCCGATACGTTGATTTGAACAGCAATTTTCTACTATGGAAAATGGTTAAAATACCTTTAGGTAACTATGGATAAACATTTAATGGTAAGTTTAACAAGCTCTAAAAGAAATATTAAATTATATTAATTAGTTACTAAAGAGTACACACTAGAATTTTTGTTACGCAAAAACATATTGTGCATCAAAGGACAAGGGATCCCAACTGTTGTTTGGGACCCTTATTTTCTAGCATTTGGCAAAAGCCAGGTAGATAGAGATGATAGAGATAGTAGTGGACCTAGTGTTAAAATTGCTACATTCCGACAGTTGTTGGCAAAGTTAGTTCTTAAATATAGCTAGTGTTACTCAATTGATTGCTAAGAAAGGCTTTAGCAAAACTACGTTTCCTAAAAATAAAAAAAATATTACCCAACATTCGGAGCCGCAAATATAATTGAAATGTATTCGAATACGACTGGAGTTGGACATATGGTGATTTGTGCTCTAGAATAAACGTAACCCCAATCAGATCGTCAAAGAGAAGTTCAGGAAGAAAATAACCGAAAAAAGTGCCATCAGAAGAATAATACACTCATTTTAAGTTCAAGACTAGTTCATCTGACTACTCGGAACATGATGACTAAAATTTACTTCTATACAAGTTTTTCTTTACTTAATCATAGAATAATTGATATCTAAATTAACTGAAGATCTTTATAATTATAATCATGTATTATATTTATTATTCTAATAAACTACCTGTCTGAAAAACTGACATGTCGAATTAAAAAAAACTTTTATTGCAATTTATCTGAACTTTATACGATTAGACCTTTTCAGTTGTCGACCCTGTTTAATGATCCCATTGCTAATTTACATCAAATTACTCCTCATTAGAAAACGTACCATCACTTATTAGAATAGATACTTTATATGGTGTATTTATTTTGTGGTGATGCACGTTGCGCCGCAAGTAAGCAAATATTACTCTGAAATTAAATTCTTGTTTTTAAAATAAATACTCGTATAGGTACTAATACGTATAGTAGGAGCAATTGCACCGCGTCTAACAAAAACAATGTCTTCCCGCGGACGAAACAACGATATTTTGTTATTATCGATAGAGTCGCAAAAAATGTTGTTTATCGGTAGACTCGCGACTTAAACCAATGTTTGCTTTTAATTCGATGCGCAGGAGATCCGCTGTGTGCCTGGACGACCTTGTTGGTTTTAATAATTCACACGGTGACTGACTGCGGGGAATCACTTGTTTACGTATTGGATTTATACAGCTAATTAACGTAGAAAACGTATGTGGTCGGATTTACATAGCAAAACAATTTCGAACGATTCCGTTATTCTCGCGGAAAATGATCCCAAAGCAGAGCTGATTAAAATTACGATCGTAGAAATGTTTTCCGCTAAATATCTATAAATCTGATGATTTTAGGAAACAAATAATTTTGAGTAGTCCATATAGATAGGATTGGTAGTATTACCCAAATGGACATTTCGATAACTTTTAATACGATTTTTTTTGTAGGGGACACCGGGGTAGGTTGTGCCGTTTTTTAAAAAAGTAATTTTATTATTTTTTAATTTGTTCTATATAAAAGTACAAATATTTGTGAATACAAATAAAAGTTAACAGATATTCTACAAAAAAACAAAAGCTAGTAGTTATGTCACAAAAATCCCCTTCTACGCAGGTTGTGCTAGCGAAACGTTAGGAAGTAATTCCAATCGACGACGGCCTTTAAACCCGAATGAAGATAATAGCTTATCAACGGGCCGCGAAAGCCTTAACCAATTTATCAGACGCCTCTACGGGGAGGAAACATGTAAGCAGTATCAACGACTGGACAAAATAAGGAAGCAAAAAGCGCACTTACTCGCCACTTTAGCGTTTCTGTGCCGCTTCCGGGACACCAACATCATACCAGCATTCCTTAGACAAAAACGAATTCTCCAATCAGTGAAGGCAAACAGGATCTACGTCAGGACTGAGAAAGCTTTTCTCCGGGAAAGAATTCACCACACTCGTCATAGCCTTGCGAAGACGGACGAGAAACTTCTTGGCCTGCACTTGACACTGGGCAACAAGATCGAACAACAGAATTGGGACAGAATGACATGAGGAACGAACTGGACCGCACAAAGGAGCAACAGATAAGGAAGTACGAGAAGTTTGCGAAAAAACAAGCGCCCAAAACAGCAAGCCTAGACAGTGAGCGACTCGTGGTCAATATGACGGACAGAGTACTCACGGAGGTCGAGAGAGCAGTGCTAACCAAAGGAGGGAACTTCGCAATCACTCCCCGTCACATTCCGATAGAAGAGATCATCTCCAGCACGGAAGCAGCCATCAAGAACCTACCGGACCAAGATGCCGAAGAAATACGAATCGAGACAGCCAAAATCCTCAGGAAGGCAAAACCACCCAAGACTAACCGACGAGAAGTGAAGGACTGGCACTGCGTAGCCTGAACACGGATGAGGGTATCATCATACTCCCAGCGGACAAAGGAAACGCAACCGTTCTTCTGAAGACCGAGGAGTACGAAAGGAAGATTGAGGAACTCTTGGACCCGGGAAGCTACAAACCCCTGAAAAAGGATCCGACGCAAGTTAGACTACGTCTTACCAACCGGCTCATCAAGTCATCATCACTGTCAGAAGAAATCAAGAAGCGCATTGTGAAGACGGAGACTGTTCCACCAAGGCTCTATGGACTACCTAAGATACACAAAGTAGATGTCCCGTTAAGACCAATAGTTAGCGCACCCGGATCATCAACGTATTACTTGGCTAAACACTTGGCATCGCTGTTTCAACCACACGTAGGACACGGCACCAGGTACATCAAGGACTCCACCGACTTCGTGCGCAAGATTCAAGATATCAATATTGAACAAAACGACATCCTTGTGAGCTTCGACGTTGTCTCACTGTTTACCAAAGTACCTCTGAAGAGTTGCTTGGACCTGGTGAACAGGATATTTCCTGTCGATATTTGCAAACTTTTTGAAGTCTGTCTGAGCGGTAGCTATTTCGTGTGGAAGGGAAACTTCTACGAACAGGTGGACGGAGTGGCAATGGGAAGCCCACTAAGCCCGGTTATAGCCAACTTATTTATGGAACACTTTGAGGAAAAAGTGATCGAGACCTCAGAGTACAAGCCAACAACGTGGTTCCGGTACGTAGATGACACCTTCGTGATTTGGAAACATGGTATGGACAAGCTCAACAACTTTCTGCAGCATCTCAACAGTCA